TTTCAGACGCTCACAACCGGCTTCCGAACTGCTCAGGTTTTCCACATGGCAGCAGGTCCTCAAGGAAGACCTTTGCCAAAGAAAGAGAAGGAAATCGTAAATTCCCAGCAGAAGGCGCCCGGTTTTGTAGCTCATCAGGAATTTATTTTATGTATCAGGGTCTTCACTGAAAATCAAAGTTTTTCTTGTTTAGAAGTGAACTTAGAGATATCTGGCAAAAGTCAATTTTTTATGCTTTATTTCACAAGAGAAAACTTTTTTTGCAAGCAAGAAAGTTTGTTATGGAAACACGAAAAGTACGTAAGCAAAAGAGAGTAAGGCGGAAGCAGGGGCAGAAAGACGCAGCCGCTCTCTCTGTCCCCAGAGTGGCCACAGACGTGACAGTTCCTGGGCGTATGTCTTCCCAGATGCTCATGTGCATGTGTGTGGTTGTTTTCAAACCCGAGTGGGAACACAGCGTGCCATGTCGTGGTTACCAGGACAGTCCACAGTGGTTGCTGTGCCAAAGTGTTTGCAGCTCACCAGATTCTAAGAAAAGGTTGTTGGTGATATGTTAAGAAATTGGCTCAGGCCAATACTTTTTAAAAAATTCTCCACTTAAAAAATAGTTCACGTTTTTATTTCTTTCAGTGTGAATTTTCTTTCCTAGCATTTTTTTTTTAAAGTGCACAAAAGAGGCTTTTATTCTGGTGAAAGTCTAATTTGATGGACCGAGATAAATTAGCATACTAGCTTTTCAGCGTGCTAAGCGACCCCAAAAACTTTCAATACGTAAGTCCTTTGCTCTAAATGGAAAAAATCTCCTCCAAGTCTTTAGGGAGCTGTTTCTGGTTCAGCGGAGGGTGGAGGTAGATGGTTTTGTTCTGTTTTTGTTAGTCTTTTTTGCACTCAGCTGGACCGCAGTAGCATGATTTGTTCCTGTTCCTCCACAGATACAAAAGATGGGCCTGCAAGCAAGTGACATAAAAAGCTTCCCAGCCCTCGCGGAGCTCGTTGCTGCTGCCAAGGACCAGGCAGTGGCAGAACAGCCTTAAGCTTCTGGGAGGACTCGTGGGGTGGGAGGCAGGGCTTCGAGCCCAGGGAAGAAAGTGGCTCTGTGTCCGTCCTTCCTGCTGGCCTCGCAGCCCAGCGGGCTTCCAGCATCGCCCGGCAACGCGCCGCGTCTGCTCTCAGCACGTGTGGGTCTCCTCTCACCCAGAAAGAGCTCCAAAGCCTTTTCCATTGTATGGAAGATAGTTTTTAAGAACCTTTGAAACTTTCTACTATAGTTTACAGAACAAAGTATTTTATTTTTATTGTAAATCTTAGCATGGAAGAGCTGATTTCTAAAACAAGGTTAAGGTAAATGCGTGTGTGTGACTATAACGGTGGTCCCTGATGCTGCGGTTGGGAGCGTGGCTGCAGTGCGGTGGCTGCATTGGAAGGAAGCATCCTTCTCTGGAACAGAGAGGCCCGTCCGTTCACGAGCAGCGCTTCTGATCACACGCGCCCCCAGATCTCTGTTAGGAGCTAGAACCAGAAGGGAAGATTAATTTCCTAAATAAAAAGTGTTTACCGTGTGTGTGTGCCATGTGTTTGTGGGTGCAGCAGAGGTGATGTGCCAGAGCCTCCCTTCTGACGGTGGCATACTGTCCCGTGGCACTCAGAGGACCCCTCCCGCAGCCTGTGCGTGTGTGGGGAGGAAGACGTCCTTGCAGGCAGAGCTAGGAACATTGGCAGGAGGCCCTGAAAGATGTGGTTGGGTCACTACCCACATGCTGACACCCGCGGCCACAGCGCCTGCGGGCCTCATGCTTGACTGTGGTGTTGGTCCTTGCAGCTCGATGGCTCCGAAGCAGTGACATTGATCCCACTGGCCTGGCATGTCTGCTCCTCTCAGTGTCTTCTCTGTTCACAGGCTAGCTACAGGGAGAGAGAGGAAATACACAGTAGGGAATGAGAGCAGGTCCTGGGGTTAGCAGGAGGGATTGTGACAAGGTGGAGAAGTTGGAACGGGAGGGAGGGAGCCCCGGAGCCTGCATGAGGAGTCGTGTCCCCTCTGGACCGCGCTGCGGGAGTGTCTGCCCTGCGCTGAGTGGCAGAGGCCATGCCCCTGGGAGGAAGGGTCTGACTGAGCTCAGTGTGAGAGGTCGGTCAGAGAGTCTGCAGGAGAGCTGTGCAGAGGGGCATCCTGAGGGCTTCCCCTTCCCCAGGCGGGAGCGCCCACCAACCTGCAATGCTGTGTGGGGCTGTGCCTGCGGCCGGTGGGAAGTGCAGGGAGGAGAGATGGAAGCCACATCTGTCGGGGGCCACCTCCAAGTTCAATGACGGGGTGGCCTGCAGAAGAAGCTGCCCTTCTGGACACTGCACCTGCACCTGGCCCAAGATCTGCGGAAGCTGAAGAGATCCCAGGGCAGCTGTGGTGGTCACGGGACTGCCTGTGCCCTGCACCAATCGGAGCTGCAGCTCTCCAATAATGTGCAGCCGCTGCCCGGGCACCTGGCCCCGGGCATCCTGCTGGTGTAGACGGGC